ACTATCTATCATATCATTTTATGTGAACTAAAAACATGAAAAAGCTAGACGAATTAAATTCATAACGTATATATTTTGATACATTTGGTTCTGACATTGATTGAATATGTTACCTATATAGCTTGAAATAAGCATAACCTTAGTTTGAAATCTTGAATGTCATTCTCGACCTAGCAACATGATTTTCCCAGTGTTTTTTTGGTTCCTCTTAAATTTGAATTATATCTAATGCTATCCATTTATCGCGATCCCGTTCGTGTTTCGCTGAACTTCCGCGCTTTGACCTTTAATGAGCCAGCGGCAGACGATCCCAGATAATAGATACGTTTTGGCTTAAGTATGTTCTATTATGATGCCATTAAATGGAACGTACAGTGGCAGCCGAAAATTTAGAAGCTCTCAAGGCGAGCGAGTGGCGGTTTAAACACAGGTCGGGTCTCCAATCAGAGAGAGATATATGCACGTATTCCGGGCTTGTTAAGATCGGCGGACCACCTACGGATCCACCGTGGCACCGTTAGACAACCAGTAATAATAGTTTTGTTAATTTGAGTATTGTATTCTCCTGTCTTTCGGATTGTTTTGTTTTTTCCGGCTGACAGAAATTGATAAATTATGATCGGTGCTTAGCGTTGATTAAGTTGTCGTGTCTCTCTTATGAATTCATCGAATGTCAAAGGCACCAGAGGCGAAAGATCAAATGCTGTGATATAGTTAGCCACCAAGTTCGAATGCTAAATTGCGAGATATTCATTCCGAGATGGCAAATAAAGAAGAAATCGAAGCATAAATCAATATTCGCATCGAGTGTCGAATCGCGCGCATGCGCAGCGGAGCGGCGCGATAAAGAGCGTTAAAATTATGTTCTGTCGCCTGGCTGCGCAAAATAAATACATACAGCGATCGGACCCATAATGAAGCCTATAAAGAGCCGGGGCGAAATCGGCTCAGCAGGCGCAAAGTGAAAAAAAATCACCAGATCACAAAAAATGGTCAAAATTTATTGTACGCTGACGGCTTTTTAATGAAAAACGTTGGCTACCAAAGCGAATTAATGAAGGTGTGTGCGCATATATCCCAGTTCCCGAGTTCCCCTGTATAGCTCGCGAAACCCTCATCAATTTCTGTGCCGGCACAAGTTCAAAAAATGAAGAAAAAAAGATGAGAAAGAACTGATCAGCATATGAATCGATTTAGCATAAGAATAAAATCGATCCTCTAATGAAAATGGTTAATAGTTATACGACCAGCGGCCATTCATTCATTCAAACACGTGTTGCTCTTGGCTTATTGACTTATTTACCCTGTTTGGCGAAAAACAAAATTATGGAGGAGCTCCCAATACCATTATCATTCAGATTCCGATTCCAATTCCGATTCTGATTTCGTTGCCAATTCCGCAATTTGTTAATGGAGCTTCGCCGTTCACAACTTCATTGTGAGCGCAACCAGTATGACATTTTAATTATGCGCCTGTCAACCAGACTGCCTGGCAGCCAGCTTTCAATTGCAATTAATTATATTTTAATAATAGTGGATGTCCCCGGCGGTTGAAAAAAAACTTAAGTGTTGTTCTGGAAATGTTTTGTCACACATGGAGAAATTGATATCCTAAGGGGGTAAGCATCCCTCGCTGTATCGTCTTAATAAAATGGTTTGTTCGACTTATCAACCAGATCAGTTGCCGAAACCCTCATTTATCTCTGCCTCCGGACTCGCCCCAAATGTTTTCCTTATTTATTATATATTTTGCCTAAGCAAATGTTGATCATCAGTCAAGTTGGGGAAGATTTATGGCTGCGGAAGCGATCGCACCTATAGAACAAGGATGCGCCGATGACACTTGACACCTGCATTGCCAAGTGGCGCATTAACAACAATCATAATAACGATATCAGTGCCTCAATGACACTTTCGGGGTCGGAATATCTGTGTTGTTATGAGCAAATGTCAGTTGGCAATCATATTCACAAACTGCGGGACGAGTGGTTCCGCAAGGCGATCTCCGCGATAAACAAACTACGGACGAGTGACTGATTAGAGAAATTATCAGCAACCTTCGTTCGTTATATCATCAAATGGAAAACCCATGTTCGCATCACTCCCGATTCGCGATGACACGGCTGATGACCTTATTGACGTTCTGGCATTTTGACTTTCTAACCGATTGTGGGCAATTGGTGTTGCATATTCATTAGCTAAATGTAGCCACCAATATATTCAGCCTTCGCCGGTGTCTTGTTTTACTTTCTTTGCCTAAAAGTTTAAATTATAGAAACAACATATGTGTGTATTCCTATCAAGCGAGAGTCCACAAAGAGAAACTCGTTTTCCTGGAGCCATTAAAGTGTTGTCTATTTTGGGATCGTAGAATATAAGCGTGTGCTATAAATGTTATCTTAAATTAAATTGCTTTTGGCACTCCCAATTATCTCCCACTTGTCCATATATTTGGGATATAAACTTCTAATTTGTTTAAATTTTCAAATTAGTTTGTGAATTGGATTTCTAATATCGAATAATTGAAGATATATTTTTCTATCTTGTGAATCCCCGAAGTTATTATTAAACAGATTGTTTTTTTTTTTAATTTTTCAAATGAATTCGATTAATTTTATATTTTTGGCACTTTTATCAGAATTGATCAAGACAGATATATATTTTCTACCTTTTGAATCCCCCAAGTTATATTCTAACGGATTGTGGCTTATACTGTATACTTAAAACATATTACTGGCAAGAAATTTCCTGAAAGCATTTATTAACCGAAATCCAGTGACATTTCTCCATCGGAATGAATCAGTGCACGATTCACTTTTCTTGCAACGATTAAAAACAACTGGGTCGCCTGAGTCACTTAAGGTGAAGCGATGACTTTATAAAAATTAATATGCAACCGTCAGGATTTCAGCGGAAAGTACTGACCGCTTCCGACTTGTGAAGTCTTGAGTGGCCAGGGAAAAAAAGATACAATAAAATAAAGGAACGAAACATGTTGGTCCAGTGGGTGGCAGCCGATGTCCAAATGGACAGCACACGCGCAACGCAAGAAAGACATTAAATTGAGTCATAAAACTACACAAAGGCAAATCGGAGGAAGAACTACAGAAAAACATACAACCACGATAACCGGCGGATGATGCCAAGTGCTGTTAAATCGAGTTAAATGAGGTGTTGGGAATTTTTTACCTCGCTTAACATGCACGAATGTACATCCATACATTCATACGTAGACCGAGCGGACGGATTCACGCAGGTTTATTGAAATGCAAACACCGACAATCGACGATCGACGATCGACAATCGAAGGCCAATAATGTTTGCTTAAATCTTAAATCTTAAATCGTAAGTCTCAGCTGCAGCACAAATAAAATCACACTCGAGTAGGAAATGTAAACTAGCCGCGAAACAAAAACATCGACAACCTGGGGAGCAACAGCGAAGAGGAACATCAAAGAACATGTATCGGGCATATGTTTATTTCATATTTCTGTAAAGCATAATTTTTAATATTTATGTAGTTTTCGCGAAATAAAATAAATCAGCAGGGCAGCGGAGACGTCACTGGCGGTGCCTGAACGCAGATCACTTGCCTCCGATCGCCGATCGTTGTACGCTGGTCACTGGTTACTGGTTACTGGTCCCTAGGATTGGCAACTGCCACTGCCACTGGGATTGGACGCGAATCTGGGAATGGGGAGAAGGAGCCAGGGCCCGAGTCCAAGTCCGAGATTGGGACCCTCGCCCAAAACGTCATGTGTGGCATCAACATGGTCAGCGGCATCGGCGGCCCTAAAACGAGGTGAAATAAACAGAACCAGTTGGCGGTGACCACACTAAAAATAAATGCATACAATTTTAAGATTTATGAGTTATTTAAAAAAATATAATGGAATTTCAGTGGATAAGTTTGAAAATATTTTTAAAGTTTTTCTATAAATTTAAAATTTTTGAAAATACATTTTTAAGGATATTGAAAAGATTTTTCTTCAAGCCATACATTTCAACTTAACTAGTAATATTTGCAATGTATTTAAATCTTAAGATCAAAAACCCATAATAAACATCAAAATATCTAGAAAATATATTTTACTTTTTTAAAATGTAACCAAACAATAATTTCTAAAATTGTGTCCATTGTTACTTTAATCAAAAAATATTTAGTGCGTTGTATAATGGATAATATATTTTATTAAACACCTAATTCTTTTCTAAATTTTCCCCCAGTTTTCCTTATTTTTCCTCAGTGTAACGGCAGGGATCTGCTGGCCCAAAAGAAGGCTCTGCTGGGCCGGCGCAATCGTTTGTACTTGTTAATGGCTTTGTACGCGTAATTATTTTGGCAAGAAGCCAGCGCGAAGCGGAAATGCGCCGGGCAAAAGCGAACGGGGCCAGTTCAATTCTGGCGATTCAGATACTCGTACACATGTGAATGCCCCACTAGCGATGATGGTGAAAGGATCAAGTGGCATTTGTTCTTGTGCGCCGCGACTGTGCATTTAATTGGGTGTTTTTATTGGTTTTTAATGATACGCGAAATGATCGAAGCTTCGACTGGCAGTCTGCCCGCAGGGCACCTGCTCGCCGTTTTCGCCGTTTTCGCGGGTTCCGAAGTTTTCCCAGCCAACTTGGCCAGCGGCCACGCCCACCGCGAAGGCGAGTGATTGTTGCCGAACCAGCAGGATGATTAATATAAAGTTCAATCTTCAATTACGCCGGCTAAAGAACACAAAACGACACAGCAGTAGCAGTAGCAACATGTTGCCGCCGTCGATCCACCAGCAACATGTTGCAGCTGCTGCTGCGTCGTTTTGTGCTTTTTTGTGCGTTTTTCGCGTGCGTCGCTCTCTCACTTTGCTCACCTTTTCTGGCCGGGCAATCAGGTAGCTTCTTTACCTGTTGCTACCGCTGCTGCCTCTGCCGCCGCCGCTGCCGCCGTTGCCGCCGATCAGCGGTATAAAAACGTTGGCGCCGCCGAGCGGTCAACCAAACAGGCGACGCCTTCAAGTCTAGCTGCACGTACACGAGAGTGGAGTTGGAGTCGTCGGCTTTTTTTCGTGGCGCTCTTTTTTTCGGTCTCTGGCAAACGGCGATACACCTCCTTTACCGCCCACCGTTCAAAATTGTGATACAAAAATTTCTAGAAAAATTTCAAAGCTAAAGTGTATGGAATACCAAATATAACACTGTCATTTATGAAAAGGTTATATTTGTAAAATAAAAACAAGTGCCTAAATAAATAAAAAATATATTTAAATCAACGTGTTGTTCAAACCCCAAGTTACATAATAATCAAAATGATGCAGCCAAGTGCTCTATTACTAACCACCATTATGATCATCTCCTGCGGAGTGGCATTCGCCTGCAATGGAAAGATAATTGGTAAGTTTTTTATGATAGGTAATACAAGCCAAGGTCCCAAAAAATTCTATATGCACCTCAGGGATTTTGGGTGTAGCCCATAAAAAATAGAATTTCAAGGCATGTCTAGCATGATTATTGAGCTTTTTTTCTAGTTCATTGTGGCTACACGTTTTAGCCATTCGATGTGTGAATGAATACAGTGAAGTGCAAATATTTGACCATAAACATATATTCTGTTTAAGCTGCGCTCGCTTTTTTCAGCGAGGGGCGCTCGAGAACTTTGCGCCATTTGTCCCGTATGTAAATTTCGCCTAATGGGCCAGTTTGGCAGGTCTAACCAAAAATAGACACGCAGTCGCCTTTCTTCATTTTCCAGTTTTAAACATTGTATATATTGCATAATGAATAGTTTAGAAAACCGACAAACACGGGCGGCAAATTACTTAAGCGTCGACCGGGACGGAAACCGGTTCATATATCGGGTTTATTATATATCATATAATATTTACCAGTGCCCAAATGGATTTAATATATTTTAGGTGGCTAACCTGTCAAGTGTCAACTGCTCTTCCAGCCAAAAGGCCACTCAACTCGGCTAAAATCCCCATTCAAATGAGATCAGAGCAGTAGCCTCGTAGAAACCCTTGAAAACGATTAGTGGCGTCTAATAATCAGGCGTGAAAAAAGAGCTCATTGAACTGACTTTGACGTTTTAATTGCCCCACCAAGTTGGGTTTAGAATTTGTAAACAAATTAAGTTCCCAGACATCACAAATGCGCTGGCAAAATTATACAAATCGCTCGATTTTTAATGGGTCATTGAGCTGAATGGGCCACGCTTATGAATTTTTGATAGAAATGGAAATAAAAATAGCTCGGTGTGGCCGAAAAACAAACGCTTTAATGATCTTTGTTCTGCACACGCGGCGCTAAAACACCCTAAAAATTCCCAATCCACCAATAAAAAGGAGAAAAAACATTTTTATAGTGCGCGTGTGCGTTGCTGATTGATGGTTGCTTTTATGCTTTTGTCTTCGATATCGCCTGAATTAAATGGGGTTTCGTCTCGGGGACCGGGACCCCAACTTAATCGCATGTCACTGGTATCATCGTATCATATGTATCGCGGTATCATGGCTGTTAAGCCGAAGCGTTTTGCTGCGGCATCAATCAAAAGGCCGCCGTGCTAATAATGTAATTAAATATGTTGGGGCACAAGGCTAGTTGTGTAGTGATAATCAGTAAATGATAAATGAAAATGAAACGAAACATAAAGCATAACTATGAAAATTAACTCGCGCTAAATGCGGCGGTTATTTTTCAACGTCTCTCGGTCCTTGCCGTTTTAGCCCCCTTCCTTTGGGCCCTCTTTATTTTGCCTTTTTTTTTGATATTTCGTTCAAGGTGAAGTCAACGCCTGGCCAAGATGCGCTGCAGTTAAGCACTTGTTAACATATTGTCGGCATTTGGCTGAGCGCCTCGAACGAGTTCGCTGCTTGAGTCTTTCGTTTCGAGCAAATATGACTGCGAGCTGTTGACGTTTCGTTGTCAACATTATCTCAGCGGTTTGCTTCGTCCGTAAGCGGAAACTGATCGACAGCTTTATGTGCAATTTGTCAGCGAAGGTAGTTCACAAATTTGCATAGCATAGCGCCCGCTGGACGCTGCAACCGCAGCATCGAAATATAAAATCCGAGTGAAAAAAGCGAAATTCGAGGCTTTGCCGGATGATTGATGCCTGGGTGCCGACTTAAACACACAGCTCTGGGCCTGGTTTTTGGCTTTAGCCTACCGGTTTTCGCATTGATACAAATGTAGCATAATTTGACAGCTCCGTCTGGGCCAGGTCTTTTGAATTCTGATTTCTGACTCTTCGATTCTGATCGATCGCTGCTCATGGGCTATTTTTAGTCCCAGCCTTGAGCAGTATATGAATTCAGATTAAGTCGAGGCAAACGCCGTGTTTAGCATTCTCGGCTTTTGTTTGGCTCCAAAAGCCCCTGTATTGACATCTAGACCCATATATTTGTGAAGCTGCCAATTTATTTACCCAACACAGCGATCAACTTTGGGGCGCGTCAAGTTGCCTGACTTTAAATCTGATTCCGACAGGCAGACACGTCCCAGCACTTGACCGGCCGGCAAAAGCCATGGTCAAGTTGGAAGTTGGAAGTTGGTAGTTGGAAGCCTGGCTTAAATGCTATCACGTCGCGCCGGGCAATCAGCGCCCATCGCCTGCTCCATTATTATAATTATTAAAAATTATTAAGCGCGCGTAATTATTTAAATGAAATGGGGGCCCTCCCCAAGGATCCACTTCCGTCTCGGCCCCTTATTTTTTGTGATTTTCAACCGATCTCTGGGGTAATTAACACCCCGGGGCAATTCGGCTTAAACTGCAACCACTTTCCGTGCCTGATTGGCTGACACACTTCAAAGCAACGTCATGAGTCAGGCCTTGTAGGACCCTGACTTTGACACAAAATCAAATCGCATTCAACTAACGTCTTTTAATTGACGCCTTTGAGAAGCACGCGCCTGCTCGCATTTTGCATTTCATTTGATTTTTTATTCCACTACGTTTCATTCTGTGTTCTATTTTGATGGGCAAACTTTAACGCAGAACCGGTTCAGATTTGGGAGCTTAAACGCTTTAAGGAAAGTGACACAGATGTGTCTTGTGATCCGGCCAACCGGCTGGTTACATAAAACCAAAACCCTAAAAGCCGGCAATTTGGAGCATACGTAAGTGTCGAATATTATATCGGCGGGGGGTTTTAATAATTAAAATATATGTAAAACTTAGGCCAATATAAATTGGTGGCCCTACTTGGGATTTCTGTGAGGCGCAGCCAAAGCGACTAAGATTTCGACAAATATTAGCTTGATAGAAACCGGCTCTCTTGGAGTTGGTCTACGTGTCTCCGTCTCCATCTCCATGTCAAAGGAGAAACACCAGCCCGAAGAAATCTACGAAAAATCAAGCATTTTAATGCAAACAAAAATAGATATGATAATATTCTCCAGCTGTGTGTGTCTTTCATGCATGTTCCCCCATAATTCCTCTTAATTTATGCAAATCTCGACCTAATCATTTCAGCATCGGGCATCACCACGGAAGAGAGATCAATCATCTTGCAGGAGCACAATCGCCTCCGGCAGATCGTGGCCACCGGACGCTACCCTGGTCAGCCGGGTGCCGAGAATATGCGCGAGATCGTCTGGGACGACGAACTGGCCGCCCGGGCCCAGAAGTGGGCCGATAACTGTCAGTTCCGTCACGATCCCCACCGCACGATAAGTAAGTCATCTGATTCTATATATCCTTACCATTTCCTATCCCATACCACACCTTAAATCCAGGAGATGGAACCAATACGCGCAATGCATGTGGCGCGTATCTTTCGGTTGGAGATCTGCACGATTCGGTAACGATCATTGGTTTGGCCATTACAACTTAAGACTTCACTAAAATTCTTTGATTAAGCATCGTTATTTATAGCGAATGTATAAGCCCAAAAGTCTAATTTATTTTCATCAACTTTGATGGCACCTTTCACAGCCATTTAAACGAATTTCATTAATTAATCACTTGGTAATACCTTTTGGGAGTTTTCGACTTATAAAGTGATTCATTCGGTTTTAATCAGTGACTAATAACTTTAATTTGGAAATAAATCTTACTCATAAACCAATCAAAGAAAATATTTTAAAACAATTTAAATTTTATTTAATAATGGCCACTCCGATCCGTTTAGTTTTTAAGATCCATCATATTTTTCATAATTTTCTGCCTGCACGAAGAGCTTATAAAACACTAGGACTAACATTGCATGCTCAGCACCTCACTTCCATCCCCTAAGATTCCACTCCTAAAATATAAAACAAATCAATACTAACTTATGATCTCCATCCATCAACAGATCGCTTCACGATGGGCCAGAATCTGGCTATCATCTGGAGTACGGCTCCTCTGGACGCCGATGACGGTGACTTCCCCTCGCGCATCCAGAGTTGGTTTAACGAGGTGCAGAAGTACTCCTTCGGGGATGCCTGGTCCCCCAAAACTGGACACTACTCTCAACTAGTTTGGGGCGAGACCAGCCTGGTGGGCTGTGGATACGCCGAGTACAAGGATGCCAGCAAATACAACAAGCTATACGTCTGCAACTACGGACCGGGGTAAGTTCAACAGATACTAGTTGTCTATCTCTTTGGTTATATAATTTTTTTTAAAGTAAACATTAATAATAACATTTTAATCGTCTCAAAATCTCGTTTATAATAAACAATGAAAACTTCCTATATCATTTGAACAGAGACTAATTTATTCAGTCTACATACCGTAAAATTCGTTCCGTTTATTTAAAGCGAACAATAAAACCATAGGAAATCTTTTTATTGGGTCTTAAAAATTATGATAACTTTTGTTTATTGATTGTTGTTGAATTGATTACTCAATTTATAAAGGCTTTTATTGCAAGAAGTATTTAACATTTGAGATATTAAATCTATTTAAAGTCAAGTTCTAACGATCTGTATCCTTTTCCCTTGCAGTGGCAACGTGGTGGGCTACAATCCCTATGAGGTGGGAAAGCCCTCGTGCTCCACGTACGGCATGAAGCCCTCGTCCCGTTACCAAGGACTCTGCTCCGCTCCAGGATCCTCGCCGGCATCGAACAGCGTTTACGGAGCGAACACAATTGAAACGTATGAGTACGGCTACAACAGCAGCCCCGGTCAAACCGCCAATAACAAACCGCCGACTAACAACATTAACAAGAGCCAGTTCAGCTATAACAACCCAACCAGACCCAAGACCGCCCCCACCTTCAATCCCTCCCCGTTCAACCCACAGGCCGCGGTACAATCCCCACCATCATCACCGTCGACCGGCGGCGGCAGTTCGTTCGGCAGCGCCTCGAGGGGCGGCAGCCACGCCTTCACCACGGAGCCATCCCAGTCGACAGGGCGGTATCAGCACAAGCTCGAGGCGTATCGGCCCAGTGCGGCCGAGTTCGAGAAGTCCGTACACAAGCATACCATACTACGCACCTATATAGAGCAGAATCAGCAGCGGCAGGATAACAGCAATCAGAAGGTGGATCAGCAGCCCGAACCCTCGAGCACCAAGAAGCCCAGTCGTGGATGGAGCCTACTCACCTGGCGCGGCTAGGTCTAAAGCCCCTGCCCCATCCAAAATGCCGCTCAATGTATTAGGCCATTAATAGCTACTGTGTAGTGCCATTAGCCAACCACCAGGATCCATCATCATCTAAACCCCCCTCCTGTCCATCGCCTTGGAACCCTAGCGAATCTTATTTAAATACCCCAAAAATTGCCATATGAGTTGTAGTAGTTTCCCTTCCTTAAAAAGAAAAGAGAATAAAAGAAGCGTAGACGGCGGTCCATTCATGCCACAGACGAATATTTGTATCAAATGTTTGCCACCCACCCGAACTGTCATCCTGTTAAACCAACCAATCGGCATTCAACATCGATCAGCTAGTTGTAGTATTGTGTTCAATAAAACAAGAATATTGATTTGTATACGTGTATTTTGTTTGATTTCGAGTGTTAAGTACAGGGAGCTACTTACTAAATTATGGTTAACAAATTAGAAACTTAGTTTTAGGGCCGTTTTCACAAAGATATATTATTAAAGTACTAGTTTGTTATCCACCACCTTGGTATAATATGCCTAAAAATTTGGTTTCCAGTTCGTTTTAAGCATTACAAAATCGAAATTCGTAGTGCATGACAAAACCTGTTTGAAATCTAGTAAAGACGATTGAAAAAACCTCACTGCTGTAAAACCAAAATTTGGTTTCCGAATCGAAGAGAACTGGTTGTTGAATAAAAATCAGTAAAGAGCATGACTTAAGGGAGCGCATGCGCGTCGTCTGATAATATTTAGACTCCGCTGAATTGAAGAGAGATTACACTTGAAATTTCGAGAAAACGAAGGGGAAATGGCTAGCCCCTCCGGCTAATGCTTTAAATGCAACAATGCCAACTTACAATTAAAGCCGGAAATCAAAAGAGCAAGCCAACAATGGGCTAATGAGCTGAAATGGGTAATGTATCGAGTTCAAGGGTTTTTGGCCAATTCAGGTTGTGTGTGTGAGCTGCGCAGAATTTTGGGAACCTTGCACCTGCTCAAGGTCGTCCAGGTGTTTCTCGCCACCCTCTTTGTTAGCCCGCACAGCAGAAAGTTTCCCCCAGATTTGCTTCCTTTTCCTGCCCAAAAAAGTTCCTTGGCGATAACCTCTTTCAAAGTGGCGATTTTCACCGCATGTGGTGACTTTATTTCCGGTTTTAATTGCTCCGTTTATCAGTCAGTTAGCTGTCCCCATAGAAACATTCCCACAGACACACTCATACCGAAAGTGCCAATTTCGTTTGTGACAAGGAATTAAGATAGGCAAATATGGCTGTCAATTGTTGTGGGGTTGCCCCTATGTCAGTCGTAAAATATATGTAGGCGAAATATACGCATATGCCAAAGGGTAAAACTTGCAGTAATGTTTGTGCCCCATGTCGCAATATGCTTTATTTATATTGCTATACACCGAAGAATATTATTGAGCATTTTGAAGTAAAATACAGGAGGTAAAAAATGTGAGTAAAGCAAGGAAAGAAATCCAAAGGTCTTCTTTATTTATGTTTTTTAAAGTCATGGCAACTTAGAAAAAAATGTTTACAGCTTGATAAGATTTAATTATTCCGTATATTAAATCAGGTTTAGGTTGCCATGACCTTTTGAAATGAATCCAGTGTAATAAAGCCTTAGCAAATGTATGAGAAAAATATTTCTTTAAATATTTAATAAAAACCCTGATATTATATACCAAAAAATAGAATATAAATTTCCTTAAATTCTTCTCTCTGCTCTTATACAATGCCTCCTCGTGGGCAGACGCACTTCATCATCCCGGCCTACTCTCAGCTCCTGGCAGCGTGAAATTAACTGACAGAGTCCTCGGCAGGACAACTTTTTATTTATACGCAGTCATACATTTAAATATGACGCAAGGCCGCAGAGACAGCGAGTGTCCTTTTTCCCTGCTGTCGGGCCAAGAAGATGATGTCCTGGTTCTGGATCCGTATTCTGGATTCTGTATCTGTATATGGCTCGGGACTTGACCCGCAGCCCCGAGGACTTCGCGCTTGTCCGGGCTGATTTATGGCATTTTATACAAACGTCAATTTGATGCAGCTGTCACTGCAGCGGAAGTGCAATCTGCGAGTTAAATGCGTGCAAAAGCCATTTCCAGGACCATTTCCATGGCCAAGAAAAATAAAATTAAATGGCCGCATGTAATTAAGTCGCTTAATGTGCCTCAAATTGCCAACTCGCTGGGGCCAGAAAAACGTCCGGGGCTTATGAATTTCCACGCATTAATTTTATTTCCCTTAATTTTCGTACCCTTTACGCGGCCTTCTTTTTTCCTTCCTTTGTTTATCCCCAATGTGGGCACTTTTCCGCTGCCAAGTGTCATTTTTGATTGTAGCCAAGAAAAAAGTATAAAGGGAATTATACTCTTTGCCTTTTGGGATAATTAGCGAAAAACTTTGGCCAGCATTTGAAGCGGCTGGCAAAAAGTGGCCATTAAAAATGTGCTATTATCGGATTTCCGGCGGACTAAAGAGATTTCCCTGGAAATGCCTTTTCTCTTTTTTTAATTCTCTGTGATTTGGGTGACATGTAGAACTTTATTTTCAATTTGCACACGTCTCACCTGACTTGCCACGATTGGAAAATTCGCAGAGTTTCCAATTGAAAGCGGGATTAGGAGTGCAGCTGCATATCATAAATGCCACGCCCTTCGCCTCCGCCCACGAGGAGCCACTGAAATGAAACAATAAAAATATATCCGCAAAGCTGCATCCCCATACGAATATAATGCAATAATAAAATGGGTAACGAAAGCAAGAAAAAGCACATATTGGAAAAGTTTTTCAATTTCAGCAAAGCTTTTATTTTACATGCAAAGATCCCGCACTCCACTCACACCCTTGCACCTCGGAAAATCTCTTTTTCCTCTTTTCCCTATATTCCCTATTCCCCGCCACTTATCTCCATTGGGGCCAAGTGCAGGCGGGAAAACCAAAACTATTTTGTTGTGAAAGAGAAATCCTCACACACATCCCAAAACTCATCCCCCCTATCCCAGGAAAATACAAAATTAGAAATGGGAAACCCAGCAACAGAACGCAAAATGTAAGCAATAAGCGAAAATGAAATGAAAACTCATGAATGGCCAACGAGAGGAAAGCGAAATCAAACCGAAAAAGCATTTTCCGAGTATTATTGGTGGCCAACTCCCTTCCACTTGCCCTTCCATCTCCATTTCCATCTCCATTTCCATTCGCATATCCATTTCCATTCCCCATTCCCATCGACATTGGTATTTGTTCTCGCTATGCAGCTGGAAGCGGAGTTTTGCATGCCGCAACGCAGTTGGCCATGAAATGGAAAACGAAGGCCAGCATAAGCTGAAAATTACCGAAAAACCCCGTATCCGTATCCGGGAAATAGAATCAAAAGAGCGAAAATCGCGCAGACGAAGCGTGTTATGGAGTTGCTCCTTTATTTATGAACGTCTGCGGTGGCTAAGCGCCGTTTTCCCACCCAACTGCCCATATGATAGGGCTTTCCAGACCCCCACTCTCTAATTAGTCCCTGGACCTTGGACCTTGAGGCCGATCTCTGCCACTGCCCTTAAATACACATTGAATCTGCACAGCTCGGCAAGGGCTGTAAATCATTTCCATTCGGACATGGCTCCGTAAATGGCCAACATGCGAATAATTCATGCGAAACACTTTGGCCAAGTCACAGGGAAAAAAGGGTTATCAACTGGGATCTGTGAAGTTAAAAAAGTGAAATTCGTATAGCTGCAGGATGAGTGAAATTTTAAACACCATGGAATTTAAGATGTATGTATTATGAAATAATATAGCGATATAAACACAAATTCTATTGCTGCTATCATAAAAAATAAGTCCTTTCAGAAATTCAGACCATAGAAGTATAAATTCCTGTTAAATTTAAAATTATATTATTTCTAAAAACATTCATGAATGATTTTTTAAAAAAATGTTCAAGAGTTTATTTTTAAAATGTATGTTTGGTTATATTTTTAGCAGTGCGGTTATCAGATATCTGCAATGTGTAAAGCCTTTAGCCATTCCCAATTTGATCCCTTGATGCATTGCCGGTTATAAGTCCCATTTTCAGTCAGCCAACTGTTGACTGCGATTTCCACAAAAGTAGAGGGAATATTCAGGCGTTTGTACAAATGTTAAATCCTTTCACTTTCCTGCCCTTGACTCTTGACAAATGTCAGGCAATATTTGGCAGTCGCCTTCAGATCCGATGGAAGCCATCAGAATTCGCCTTTGACCAAGGCATTGGATCCAAGAAAATGTACCCCACATATGAGTGGGAATTTATGGGCGGTCCAGGCAGTGCTGTAAAAATCCTGCATGAATTTGCATATTTTCGGAAGCACAAAGCTCATGGCATAGCTCAACACAAAAAAAGGTAAATAAATATACGAAATTTACTAGAAGAACTGCGGGGAATACGGGCTGCTATTGTTGAACTTTACGCGTCAAATTTTACATAAATCTTTATTTTCCCAGTGCGAAGGAAAATGTTTGCTTTGAAAAATGTGCTGCATACTTCTGGGCGAGTGAGTGGGAGACTGGAGTGCGGCCTGGGATTTGGATAGAAATGGGAATGGAATGGGAATAAAGATTCCTCCACGCTGCGTATCGAATGAACATGAACTGTCCCACTGCCTGGCAACCGGGGCCAAATGGAAAGCAAACTCGAAACGACAGATTCGAACTGCCGTTAAATCAAACATAAAACCCAGAAAACTGTAGAGAGTAACTCGCCTAGCAACGGCCACTAAACCGAACAAAGTCAGCTTTATGGGCCATCAAAATTGCACAACAAGCCTCCGCTTTTGCTGGTCTGGTCCCACAGGTTATGTTCACTGTTTGCCGACCAGATTGGAATTGGTAGGTATGTGCCACGCCCCCAGGTTTTTTGGGCGCCTTGATTGCACAAAATATTGTTGCGGGTGTCCGTTTTCAATCTAAAATGTGTTCATCAAATCTACATAATTCGACCCACAGGTTCAATCAGTCCGGCAATCAGAACTTATATTGTTGCTAATCAAAGGTCAACCGCACAGATTGTAACGAAACAGAGTTTTTGGCTAGTTTTGCGGCCAGCATCCGTTCATCCTCGCTCCGGTCGAATCTCATTTCTCATTTAGTGCTGGCCCCCCTGCCCGTTGGCAGCTTTCCATCATTTTGGATTCGGATTCGGATGCGGATCCTGATCCCCATCCACATCCACATTCGCAACACGTAGTCGACGCATTTGTCGTCCGTTAATCAGTGCGTTGATTTTTGAGGATTTATGACAGAGCCGAGTGCAACTGTAAGCTGGGATTATCCTGTCCCAACTTAGATTGCGATTTTAGATGGGCTTTCAGTGGCAGGACTTAACAGCTTTAAGCGGTTGGCGATG